GGGATGCAAGAAGGGATATTGGGGAAGGGTGTACTGGGCATCCTAAGGTGCTAAGGTGTGGTCAAGGGATGATTACTCATAGATAGATGGCCTAGTCTTTGAGAGACATGACTATGATGCAAGTGGTCTTGGATTATTAATATGACAATGGTGAATGGGCATGGCTTTAGCATAATAAACTGATATGTTGGTGGTACCTTTGGGTGTCGGTCATGAGATTGGACACATGGAGTATTTGGACCAAGTGCAAAGGCTAAATGGCATAAATGTCATTCATAAGGTTAGCATATCCCAAGCTAGAAATAGGACTTATGGAGGTTGTGAACAAAACTCCTCTAAGTGGTCAAAGGTGTGGTTAAGTGACTAAGGTAAAATGGAAAATTTAATCACTTACACATACCACATGCCACATGTCCAAAGACAGTAAGGTGGAATCTAAGTTTCAGAGCCTTGGGCCACTAAATAAAGGTATGGAGCTAAACTCCCAAACTTGCAACCAAGAAGTAAAGGAACTAAAGCATGGAGTGAATGCTAAGCTTTTAGCCCAAGGAGCATAAAAGCATAGAGTGATGTTGGAAATAGTTCTAGAGCTGTAAGTGACTAATTTTTTCCATTCTACTTTAGTCACTTAACTGCATCTTTGACCACTTGAAGGAGTCTCATTCACAACCTCCATAAGTCCTTCTCAGGACTTGGGGCTTGCAAGCCTCGAGAATGGCATCCATGCCACTCAACCTTTACACTTGGTCCAAGTGCTCCACGTGTCCGGTCCCATGACCGACACCCCAAAGCACCACCAACATACCAGCCCGTTACGCTAAGCCATGCCCAATCACCTTGGTCACATCGGTGGTCCAACACCACCTGCATTGCAATCCCGTCTCTCCAAGACTGGGCAATCTATCCATGAGTGGTCATCCCAAATCCACTCCTTAGCATCCTTAGGATGCCCACAGATATAGGGAATAACTTTCCCCAATATCTCCTTTCTGGTCCCCACCAAGTCCCTCTCTGTCCTTGGCCGTGTTTGCCAACACTGCCACTGAATCAAGGCCCATAGGCCTGACCACTAAGTCCCATGGTCCTCTGGGACTTCTTCACCGCACAACTGTATTCTTGGTCACTACACCAAAGGACTACTCCTCTTCCTTTCCATAGTCTGGGCCTTTGGGACAACATTTCGGAACACCATGGCCTTACGCAAGCCTCGTGGGTACTCTCCTTGCCTTCTGCCTTTGGGTGCTCTAGCCATGGGCTTAGAGCGAGGTTTCGTTGAGCTACACCAAGTATCCAAGTAGGTAGTGCCACCCACACTTGGACTAGGAGCATCGGCTAGTCGATCTCCCGGGGGAACTAGAGCTGGCTTTTGAACACTTCACCAAGCTACCCCACTTATCGGTTTGTGTTCACTTTAGTCTTGGACTTCCCACTGGGCAGCTCATCACCCAACACTGGGTACAGCCTTCCTGGGCCAAACTGGCCTTTCCTGGCTAAACTGGCTCCACTGCAGTCCTCCCCCTTACTATACTTTTGGAGCTCACCAAACCCCCTAGGGTTTGGGAGATGAACGCTTTGGGCTTTCACCCTCTCAGACTTGAACTCGGACTCAGACTCGGACTCAGACCCGGACTCGGACTCGGACTCGGACTCGGACTCGGGCTCGGGCTCAGTCTCGGCCTTGGCCTCGGTCTCGATCTCGGTCCCGATCTCGGTCTCGGTCTCGGTCTTGGTCTCGGTCTCAGTCCTGGTCTCGGTCTCGACCTCGGACTCCATCTCAGGTCCTTCTCAAACTCCATCTCGGATTCCATCTCGGGTCCATCTCGGACTCCATCTTGGACTTCGTCTCGGACTCCATCTCGGACTCCATCTCGGGTCCATCTCGGACTCCATCTTGGACTTCGTCTCAGTCCATCTCGGACTCCATCTCGGACTCCATCTTAGACTCCGTCTCGGTCCATCTCAGACTCCATCTCGGACTCCATCTTAGACTCCGTCTCGGTCCATCTCGGACTCCATCTCGGACTCCGTCTTGATCCATCTCGGACTCCATCTCGGACACTTCCATGTGTTCATGTATTGGTCCTTTTGGGTCCCCTTTTAGAGCCTCGTTTATTGCTTGCTTTGTGCTCATTCCTTGAACACTTTGTTGGGAGTTCCACTCCCACTCTCGACCTTTCAAGGTTGAGCTTTTAGTCCAAACGTGTTATGCTCGTTTGGCTTTCGCTTCAGCCACTACCATGTGGCACCCTTCCGGCTCCACTTTGGGGCCTAGGGATTTTGTGTTTCACAAGAGCATCTAACATCCTAATGCCAAATCTAACACACAAATTAGAGCTAAACAGAGTCTAGTGCTATTTTAACATATTGGTGATTTAATGCGGGGATATGAGTACTTCACTAGATAGCATGGTATGGAACTTGGGCTTAGACCCAAGCCAAATATAAAACAAGGATACGTACATAAGCGGGAGTTGAACTATGCCTCAAATTAGTTAATCATGCCCAACTTACCTATTATCCTTACAATATATTTAGAACCTTTTATAACCCCCACTTGAGGATTGCACACTTTGGGCTTTCACCTTTAGTCACCTTTAGTACAAAGAGTTAATCTCTAAGACAAGTGTGAAATTTCTCATTGCTATCTATGGAAAGTGTCTAGATTTACTAATTTAGCATTTCTATGACATATAAAGGTTTTCTAGAATATAATGATGTTGGTCCCATGTCCAAATTCACAATAGCGCCATTTCGTATTTAGTAAGGGGCATGATAGCGAAGGTGTTTGGCAAATACAATAAGCTATTATATAGTAAATATTGAGGGATTAAACTCAATATCATGAGAGTTCCTAACATTAGTAAGTGTAATCCAACAATATGAGTTTCTCATCACCATGTCAAGTATGCTTGACTAAATAACAACTTAAGATTTCCTTAGTGTTTTTTTGTTCTAAGTGCATATATAATGATTAGCTTCTCAACTAGCTTAAGTGAAGATTGATCAAGTGTTTAGCAATACTGACCTCCTGCTGCTGTTGTGGCAACAAAAAAGAATATCCAAAAAGACTAGGTGACATGTAACTTTTGATACCCATAGTCATATTCGTTCTCCCCCTCTTAGAGAAGATCAACGTCTTCGTCGATGCATACTATAATCTAGATCATTGCCAAGGAAACAATTCTAGAAAAAATTCATGGTGTCCACACTTTGTGAGAAATGCACCAATTTAAATGAGTTAAAGTAACTTCTTTATTTAATTGTAAACTCCTAATACGCTTAACCCCAAATATCTTGAGACCTTTAATCTCAAGACCCTTCCCTTTGGCTGTCTACAATCCACCACGCTTCCTTGTAAATTCACACCCTTGTGAATAATGGAAGCTAAGAGCCACAACACTCCCGAGAACCCCACTCTTTTAACATATTACTTTGATACCTAATATAACCTCTTGAATTTAGACTTTTTAATAGGTCACCTAACCTAGTACTATTTAAACCTAAGGACACTTAACCCCAAATAGTCGATTGAAAAAGGGGGTGCATTCTTGTTCATAGGCCCTTTTCATCTATATTTGAACCCTAATAGATTATCTTTCAAGTTGGTAAAGTTAGATAGACTATTATAAACAAACAATGAAAGTTGTTTACATGGTCATGCCTTTTTAATGAAATAAAAAATATTGAAAGAGAGGTTAATGATGTGATTAGTTGATAGTAGCTACCCCATAACTAGAGATTTCACCATGCCCATGAAGTGCTGAAGTTAGTCTACTTATATTGGCCCAAATAGAAAGATCAAAAAATGGATAATATCAAAGTCATAAACAATGATATCTTAAAGACATAATTATTAGTGAATAAATCATAAATTAGAACACAAAGATATTCAATGGTAAATTATCATCTGATAAACCAGTATTATAGTACATGAGCCACCAAGCTCATTATATTTAGAAAATATAAGATTCACCATCTAACAAAATTTAATACCAAATATACCATCAAGAACACCCAATGATATAACTTTAAATTTACTTCACATTAGCACACTTCATATTAGCAAAAGATATCATAATATCAAAAATAGTAAAAGTTGTGTAACTATGTCCCACTAAAGCACATTGAGGATTGAAGTAGCAGTAACAAAATCACACCTCATAACACCAAAACCTTGATCAATGTGTGATACAATAATAGAAACAATGTTGCCAGATTGAGATAATGAATAAAGCCTTAAACATCACACTCTGAGAACAATGTGGCATGATAAAAAAAAAGAAGGAATGTAATGAAGATTAAAAAAAGAGCAAAATTGATAGCTACAATCCTTGATCTTAGCAAAAATTACAACAATCTAAATTTAAAGAACAAGGGAATTATAAAAACAAAAACACAATCTTGAATACTAGATCAAACCACTGCCAAAAAACCTTACTCTCTAAAGAATTTTTAGAAACTATGAGTGTTTAGGATATAAGAATAGTTATATTCATTGGGGTAAAAATCTTTGTTTATATACAAAAATGGATGGATTATATTAATTTCAATTAGAAGATCTATATACAAGAAAAGCTATACAATAAATAAGCTAAATTAAGCTAAGAGAAATTAATAGAACTTTTTTTACAGTTTTTAATATTGTCAACTTGATAAAAAAAGAGTGAAACTTAATCACTATGTTATTTATATAAGGTATATAAAAAGTATACAAGGAATATTTTATGATACCTTTAAAAGGGATAGAATAATGGGGATTAGATGTTTTGCCAAATAAAGTAGAACGTGATCTTCTTGCTCCTTTCACAATCCAACGGATTAGTCAAGGATCCAGTTTGTCAATAATTATTTCAAGCGATACTATCACTATTAAAACCCACAGTATAAGTCACACAATCTCGTTTTCTCGATTCTTTGTCTCGGTCCAGCTTGCTTCGACTTTGAGCCAGGTAAGTAGAACGTCTATTTCACACAATACAAGAACATTGTCCAGCGCGTGTCACACAAGGCCGGCTATTTCTCCTCACTGGAGCCAGGTAAGTAGAACGTCTATTTCACACAATACACAAGAACACATGTCACACAAGGACGGCTATTTCTTTTGCTAAGGTAGGAGAATTTCTTCCTTCTTAAGCTCAGCACCTCTCTCTGCTCTGTTTGGTGCTCCTTCCAGCAAAGAATAGAAAGAATGGAGCTTCTGTCCAGCATTCCAGCTTTCCTACAAGAAAACTGCTACTCGTTGTTGCTTGTATTGCTGCTTGTGATTGTCACTTCAAGATGGTTCTTCAGAAAGCCCAGCGATCTCCCCCCTGGACCATTTAGCCTGCCTGTGATTGGTTGTCTTCACTTGATTGGCCCTCTTCCTCATGTGTCTCTTCACGAGCTGTCTAGAAAGTACGGTGGCATTATGCATCTCAAATTTGGTACAGTACCGTTCGTAGTTGTGAGCTCTGAAGAAGCAGCAAAGGAGCTGTACAAGTATCGTGGCCTTGAGTTTGCTTCTAAAGTTCCTACTATAGCTGGCAGGCATTTTGGCAATGATTTCAATGGGATTGTTTATGCGGAGTACACTCCACAGCTGAAACTGTACAGGAAGATCGTCAACACTCATCTGCTCTCGGCAACCAGGCTCAAAGTCTACGACAAGATCCGCAGGGAAGAACAATGCAGTCTAGCGCGTTCGATTGTGTCTGCAGAAGGCACACCGATCAAGCTCAGAGACAAGTTCCACAACCTGAACGTGAACATCATCACTTACATGCTCTTCGGAGAGCGTTTCTACGGGGCGCATGCCAGGAACACAGCAGCACTTGACGCTTTTGCGGATGCAGTTATAGAAAGCTTAAGATTGTCAGGGGTATTCAACATCAGTGATTTCATCCCAGCAATCAAATGGCTGGACGTTCAACGCTTGGAGAAACGGTACAAGCAGCTGATAGCTAAGGTGAACGACTACTTGCTTTCTGTCCTGCAAGATCATAGAAGGAACCCTCGAAAGTATAGGAGAGATGAGCCTGTTCCGTTCATTGACGTCCTCCTTTCTCTGGATTCAACTGAAGAAGAAGTTTCAGATATTACCAAGCTCTCCCTTCTCTTCGTAAGTGGTTTCCTGCTTTACACAATATATAAGTCATCCAAATTTGTTTCAGGATATGTTGCTTGGTGCAGTGGATACTTCGGCACTCTCACTGGAATGGGCCATCACAGAGCTCCTTCGTCACCCATCCGTCATGGAAAAGGCCCGCAAAGATATAGATTCTGTGGTTGGAAGCAACAGATTGGTGGAAGATTCAGACTTGGATCAGCTACCATTCATCGCTGCAATCGCCAAAGAAACATTGAGGCTGCACCAGCTAGCACCACTGGCTCTTCCCAAGGTAGTCCAAGGAGGTCCTTCAAAACTTGGTGGCTACACCATTCCTAACGGTACCTGCGCCTTTGTCAACTTCCATTCGCTCGGCATCGATCCTGCACACTGGAAAGATCCAATGAAGTACCGGCCCGAGCGATTTCTAGAGGCCGACATCGACGTGTTCGGACAAGATTACAACTTGCTGCCATTTGGATCTGGAAGGCGAATGTGCCCTGGAGCTAAACTTGGATTTGACACGCTGCAGATTGGCATTGCTACACTGGTTCAGGGATTCGAGTGGAAATTGGCGAAGGGACAAGATCCAGCTGAGATCAACATGGACGAGACTTATGGCTTGGTTTGTCACAAAACGCAGCCGCTCATTGCTGTTCCGAAAGCACGGCTTGAAAGAAGCGTCTATAGTAGCTAAGAGCAATTGCAGAGTACCTTCACGGTAAACCTTCTCCAACCGGCCCCCTCCCGCTTAAACTCAAGATCGCCTTAGAAGAGCTTTAGATTCTAGAGATTGGAGGGCTTGAAAACGTTGAAATTGCTGAGAGATGTTGAGAAGATTGTTTCCAGTAGCTATGGATGCCAGTGAACTTCTTTTAAGTTGCTTTGTCCCTGAAGAAAAGAGATAGATTTACTTCTCTTTGGAATATTAAAAAATTAATCTAAAAACTTTTATCAAGCTTTCAGGCAAACCTTGAGGAGATTGTTTCACTTGTGCTTCTTGATCTGGGAAAGCTTCCAAATCCCACACACTGCTTATAACAACAATAGAATGTGAGCTAAACCGAGAAAAGAGAGACACAAATTCATACCTTAAATGGTAGTCAGCAGAGGTTGCCACCAACATGGAACATTCATGAGCAGACCATTCGATGGGAGTTATTGCAGTAGAATGGTAAGCAGTACTGTAAATGGGACGACGATCCTGCAAAATTTAAATATGGAGGAAGTATGGAATTTAAACGCAAGAGAGAGTCTAAATGCCATACATGGATGATGCCATCGTCACAGCCAGTGGCGAGTGCCGTTTGAAACTGGGACTTTGGGGAACGTGACAGTGAAGTATTTGTTCTTGAGAACCGTATACCTGTTCCAAGAGATCACGTTAGCATCTGTGTTGTGGACTTTCACCACCGTTTTGCATGTACCAGCGGAAACTCCCACAGACTGACCGTTCCATCGGAGGAGCAAGCCGCAAGCTCAAAGGAATCCACCCTCGGACACCACTGATCATCAAGTTTATATAAAAGCAACAAAGAAAGATGATTCACTTTGCCTGGATGAAAAAAAAGCAAGGCTTAGCAAAAGAAAAAGTTCGATCAATCAGTTCAAAGCACGACACAAGCTATCCATGGTGCGCCAAACTCCAATCCAAAGCAAATCTTTCCACCGTGAGAAACAACTTGGAGGGGTGCCTGGTTTGTAACCTGAGAAAAAGCATGGCTGCTTTTGGCAAAGTCCCAAACGAATGAGGAGCAAGCTTGGGAGCTTTGTCGCTCATTTCTTCGTCATCACTGTTATCATCACTGCTGCTAGAGTCGCCATCGTCACTAGAACTGCCAAGTTCCACGCCACGTCTTTTCTTTCCCTTGATGTTGGAAAGCTTTGCAACGATGAGCTGATTATCTACAAGAGTTGCAGCCTAGGAATCACAGGAGAAAAGAGTTTTAAAAGTTTAGAAGAAGAAGAAGAAGGGCTTTCAGGAGATGATCTGTAGTATACACTTGCATTAAAGAAGGAAGAACCCTAGAATTTAAAAAAACTAGGGTTCTTGGCTATGAGCATTGGAGAGTATCAAATGCAAGGCGGAAGAAGTGGCCGCCTTCGTCTAGGGCGTGCTTGATCGTGCTGAGCTTCCACTGCTGCGCCTCGCTTCTCGCGGTGAGTGGATCGCTGCTATTGAAGTAGAAGCGCTCTGACTGGGGAGATTCTTCCTCTTCTTCGTCTCGCTCCTGGCAGGGATAGACTCTCCACATTTTGGCCTGGCCGTCGAGGCTTCCACTGGTGATGCTACACAGGCCGATCCTGTCGGGGGCGAGCACGATCGATTTGACGGGGCCGGTGTGGCCTTGGACAACGGACAGGGAAATATGCGATGGTGAGTATCCTTGCTTTCGCTCTCTTCTCCACAATCTTATGGTTTTATCGGCAGAGCCACTACACAGGAGATCGCGGAGTGTTGCCAGGCAAGCTACTGCTTGTGTGTGGCCGCTGAGAAGGCCACTCAAGCTCACGGCTTCCATGTCGGGATTTAATTCCCACACGGAGATGGATGAGTCGCTGGATCCGCCGTAGAGAACCTTGTCATCTCCTCCATCGCCACCCAGTGCCAATGCATTCACTGCGCTGGAGCAATTGCCTGGACGCTCAAGAACTCTGGCCAACAAGTGCCTGTGGTAAGTTTTACTACTTTTCTTGTCGCTCGCTTCTCTTTTCCAGATCTTGATCTTTGAGTCTGCAGAGGCTGTGTAGAGAAATCCCGCTTTTGCCACCAGAGCTTTGACTGCATCGTCGTGAGCCACGAACGACTCGATGCATTTGAGATCGGACAGCCTCCAAACCTTGACAGTCTTGTCCCAGGAGGCCGAGTACACGACGCCGTCGCCGAGAGCTAGCGCGGACACTACGTCGGTATGTTGGACTGATCTTGCGGCCTTGTTCTTTTTGCTCGAGAACCTTGATGACGTCGATTCTGCTACTAGGTCCTTGAGAGTTGGAAGCGTCGCGACGAGAGTGTGCTGCGTGTGGTTGGATTTGGAAAGCCGCCACACCCGGATCTTCTTGTCCTGGTGAGCGCTGAAGAGCTTGTCGCCAGCCACAAGCAGCGACTTGACAGCACCGGCGTGAAGCTTGCTTCTCAACGTGAGAAGGTGAGTGGCATCCGAGTGTCTCCACACTGAGATCTGGTTGTTTCCCAGGCCGCCGCAGATGACTCCGCCATCGTGAACAAGGCCGAGTGAAAAGACTGCATGGCTCTCCTGGTTGAAGCTCCTGAGGCAACGGTAGGAGCAGAGAGATTCGTTGTCCGAGCAAGAGGTGGAGTCGGACAAGTTGCTGCTGCTTCTACTAGTGCTGGAGAAGGCATTATCGCTATCGCTGCTAGGCAAAAGCACGGCATCGAACTGGAGAACTAATTCTAAATCCATACCGGCGGACCGACGAAGCGGAGACTTGGAGCTTACCATCATGGCCTCACAAGCGGCGGTGGACGACAGATCGTTAGCCTTTAAAGCGGCTGCCTCAGGTATGGAGGAAATGCTCGTGACTCGAGTCTCAGTAAGCGATTCCTTTGGCAGATGTGGGAGGAGAATTCCCATGGTGGCGTGTGAGACGGATGAGATTCGTGCGGGTGAGAATCCCATGAAGCTTCAAAGTCTGCTGGTGGGAAGATCAACACCAACGAGCTCTCGGCTCTCTCGAAGTCGCTCACAGCAGGCAAGCAAGCAAAAACTTTCTCGCGAGTGGAGTCGTGACAAAGATACCCTGTGCGGAGAAAAGCCCGAGAAAGCGACTAGAGACGTTACAGGGAAGGACGAACAACAACAAGGCTGACTGGAAGAACGAAGGCGCAACTCAAGAGGCGTAGCGTAGACAAAGGCAGCTCACAACATTTATAGGCGGAGGAGCAAGCGCAGCGCAGCGAACAAAATCATCGCTCTCGAATCTCGAGACACAAAGTGGAGAGCAGAACGGATTCTATCTTCTCAATGATGCGTGGAGGACACCAAGGGGGGACACTATTCTATTCTCTTTGCTCTCTCTCTCTCTCAGTCGCGGGAGAGCGGGGGATTCTATACCGGTCGCATTCCATTCCGCCGCGGAATGGAGTGGCCAGTGAGTGTGCTTTCTGGCGTGGAATGTGTGGCCCTTGCGGCACTGGAAGGACACATGGCTCGCACATACACCTTTGCCATCTCTACAGCCAAAACTATACATCTATTATTTTTCAATGTATCATAATCATATGGTTCAAATATTCCACAACCATTATTGATTCCTCCATAGTTGTGCAATCTTCACACAAGGAGTTCCAAGGCGACGTGGCATCAAATATTCCCACGTCAGCATTCCCGCGAAGTTTCAACTATCATCATTTTGCGAACCTCCTGGATGCGTTCGTAGCTCTATTATCGCATCGCCCACTTCTGTTAAAGTTCTATCCAATCTTTTGGCCTGGCCCATTCTCTCTGCAAAAGAAAACCGATCTTTGGAACTTTCTCTCCAAGTTTGTAGGTGAGACAACTCGGTGGCTGCCGCATAGATTACATTCTCGAGCGGGGACAATTACTCTACAAGCAAGCAGCTCGTCGATCAAGCGCCACGACGCAAAATTTCGCTGCTGGGATGAACTGGATGTGGATGCCTGTGGTACCACCACCATCACGACGAGTTAGAACGAACAATTCGCCAACCAAGGAAAGAAAAGTCGAGCAAAAACCAACCGAGGATCCGTTTTCTCTCGTCTTTCTTGGCACTGCCCTCCAGCTAATGCCGGGTTTGTTACGTACGCAGGGGTCAATCAGCATCAGGATCAAGCATCAACTGTACAACAAGATGAGCATTTCATAGAGTGAGCTCTACGTCAGAAGCCTGAAAATTTTGACTGTGTCTAGGCGCTCTAGACAAGGTTAAAAAAAACGAGAAGTTATATCCACCTTTTGGTTGGCTTGGATGTTGGATTTGCAAAAAGATGGCGAGCAAATGCTGGCTTGCTTCCCTCGCCTGCATCAAAGTAGAGGGGGGTGGGGATTAGAGATCAAAGAGTGACTAAAGGCGCACCTGACTGAGAGGATTCCTTCGATCCCAGTGAAGACCGTTTCACGCTCGAGCAATCAGCGGGCACGCCAACATTTGAGTATCGACGGGACGAAGCGAACTGGTCGCCACAGGAGAGCCGTGGATCAGACGCCTTGAGCTTAGGTGGTTGTAAAGGCGTCCTGAAGAAAGCATATAATATTAGCAGCCGACCAGGAACAGTAACTGGAAATGAGAGTACAAACCTCCACTGAGGTCCAGGTTGCGGTTTCCTGATGCTAGCGGGAGATCTGCCACCTGTGTCCAAATTCTGATCCAAGTAAGAAGAACCTCTTAAATAAGCGCTCTTTCTCAAGAGTTTCTGACTCGCGGTCAGTTCTGTAGGCTTGAGTCTTGGCTTCCCTGAAAATGAAGTCGTGACGACTGCCTTTGCGTTGAGAACCTTCTCCTGCAAAATTCGTTTGGGAGTAGGCCTACTCGGAGACGACGAGAATAGTAACTCCGGACAGCTCGCTTCGTCTTTCCCGCTATCGGTGCTCAAACACGACTCAAAGACCTCTTCGTCCGGGCTTGTAGACGACGAGTGTGAACTGTCCTCTGTTGTAAGGTGCCATTCTGCTGACATGGTAGCTTCCGGTGCCAGCAAGCCTCTGAGTGGCGTGCCTTTTATCCTTGTCTTCGGTATTAGACCAAGCTTTAGCTTTTCTATCTCTGCGTCCTTCTTGGCCATCGCCTCTTTCAATGCCATTACCTGGAGAAATGGTTGTGTTACGGGTGACACCCAGGAACATGCATAACGTACCTGATCTTTCAAATCCCGTACTTCACCACTCTCTCGGTTAGTTCGTGCCGCTCCAAGTTCTACAGTGGCCACTCTCTCAGCGAACTTGAGCGTGCTCAGCGTCTCGCTAAAGGACTCACTGTCTGGGCTCATATGTACAAACATTAGAGCTTTTGCCTGGCCACCTGACAGAAAACACAACAATGTCAGTCGAAAGAGCCTTTGGAATTGGAAGTACCTAAGGAATCTTGAAGAAGTTGAGTCAGCTTGCTATTCCTGTAAGGCACGTGCGAGCTTTTCACACTCAACGCTGCGATCACGTCTCCCAGAGCTGCAAGGGACTTGTTGATATACTGAGCTTCTTTGAGGCGTTCTCCAGTGGCTTCAGATTTATCAACTCTTTCACTCCCAGCAAGATCTACGAGATGAAGAGACCCATGTAGAACAGCACCAGTCTTCAGGTCTTTGCCTCGGACATGTACCGTCAATACACTAAAAGAAAAGCCGGAATTTGTAAAATGGAAACGGGATTGCACATTGACGCACCTGTGAGAGCGGCTGCTTCTTTCGTTCATAGCTGTTGAACCAACAGAACGATTCTTCTGGCCAAGCTTCATCAACTGCAAGACATCCGCGGTCGAATTCACTGGCATCATGGTCGCGTCGGGGACGTTAATGCCATTCTTCTGCGAACAATTTCGAATTTCCAGCGTAAGAAAGTCAAGGAAAGCTATCAGTAAAAGTCAGGACCAGGACACCAAAGGATATTTTTTGTTTCCAGAATCTCCAGTGAGCAAATCCCTCAAATGTTCATTGTAGATCTCCAGAAATTGAACCACGATCTCATATTGAAACAGGTTCTTGCGGTCGGTAGTAATTTTGAACAAGTCATGGAGGGCTCGATAATTTACACCCCATGTTTCTTCTGTTAGATTATCAGGACCACTCTGCATCACAAAGGACAAGTCACAAGAAGAAAATACTTATCAGAAACGAACCATCGTGTATGTTTTTCCGGATCCAGTTTGACCATAAGCAAAGATGCAAACATTGTAGCCGTCAAGTACCGATCGAATGAGAGGTTGAGTATCAAGGTACACAGACTCTGTAAATGCCAACAGGGTGAGCAAATGAAGTGCATACCATGTGCAGAACGAACCTTGAGTTGCACGAGGACCAAAAATCCGGTTAAAGCAAAACGACTTGCGTAACTCCTTATTAGCAATCATAATTTCCCCATTCTCACCAATAAATTCGACAGATCCTACAGGGTCTGACGATGGCCTTACTCTGCAATACACTCGTATGTTCCCTGCGCAAACTTAAAAACGTTAGAAGCCATTGATGTAGAAATTCTGTACCTTTGAGATCTTGAACTTCGTTGTACAGCTTTCGATTCTCAGCAAGCGCTTTACGATATCCAGCGGCATCAGCAGCTAACCCGAGGACTTGGTTTTCTGAGCAGTACGTAATGAATGTTAGATACTGGTCAATTTCAAGAACATGTTTTACCCAAGCAATTCACGTCGGTTTTCCACATTTTCTGCATCGCATTGGCGTCGCCCTTGACGATTTCAAGTGCGGATCTTAAGCTCTACATGAACAGAAGAGGATATAGATTGAATGTCTGCATCCAGAACTATAGCTGGTTTCACTCACCTTAATTTCGATTCGCGCCTCCACGAGCATTTGGTCCAGTTTCTTGCTCTTTAAATATTTTCCCTGAAGCAGGTAGAACAGAATGTTGGTTCAAAGAAGAAAAGGCGACAACTCACATCTGTAACGTGTACTCCCGGAGGTTGCTGGAAGTCCTCCCTAACCTTCGCATCATCAGGCTAAGTTGCAAATGCATAACATTAAGAGCTGTCACGGAAGGAGTTTCTTACCACTTGAGGTTCATCTGTTTGCGTTCCAGAAGCTACAGGTTGGTCTTCAGCTTCGACATAATTGTCAGGTGGAAGGAGTCTCTTCCTCGAGTTTTTCTTGAAAGTATTTTCAGCGCCTCCAGGTCTTCCATATCCTCTCGGATAGACATTCCCTCGCAACGGTGACCGCAGAGATCCAGCGTACTTCCAGGAGCCCAGCGCCCCCGTCTGCTTCCACTCGTTGTAAGACTTTAGTGCTAGTATACAATCCACAACTTTTGTCATGGATCCTGTAGCCTGATAGTGAAATGCAAGTGGTCAGTCAGTGGTACTTCCAACATGCGGTGTCAAAACATTGGATATACCTGTTCCAAATCCGAGCTTTCGAATGTAGGAAGCCTCATCTCTTGCGACGCGACCAGAAAGTTCCTCAAGTTCTCGAAGCATTGAAATGCCGATAAACTCCCATCAGATGAGGTAGTCTCCACAACCTGTTCCGATACATCCGGCAGAAATGCAAGTCAGTCACTCTGACGAATGCATCAAAACCAAAGCAACCAACCTTTGAGACGGAACCGGGCTCGATCCTGTTCATGAGACGGCAGAGCAGCGCTCCATTCCGGAGGCACAGCCGCAGCTCATCCTCCGATGGCTCCGATGGTATTTTGGAGCACCCAACAATTTTGTTGATCCAAGAAGCCGCTTGAAACCTTCTTGTAGCTGAGACAAAAATTTAGGCTCGGCCCAAAACCTTGGAATCCATACCTGCTTCCTCGGCCTTCCTGGACGCCATATGCACATCGCTCACCCTCCCCGCGGCCACTTCCACCACCGTCAAATTCCTGTCGTGCTCATCGCTCGCCCGCGACGCCTCCGCCGATCCGGCCGCATTGCCGCCGTGCATTGCCGAGGAGAGCATCGCGCAGCGCATCAGTCGGCTGCGTCGCGGCGCATCACAAGCCAGTCCCGGCGATCGATCGATCCAACCCTAGGGCTCGCTACCTCCACCTTCTTTGAGCTCTCTCGAATTGCTTTGCCCGCCTAATGCCCCAGCCCCGGTGACGAGCCGCCCCGCCGAGCCAAAATTCTGGCTGTTGCGACTAGGTTCGGCTACCCGAACCGTTTAAATCGGAAGGGTATAAATTGATGCCGTTGCGAGCATGCTAAAAAAAAGCATGGTCGTTCCGTACCCTCCATACGGACATTATCGTATCGTAGTATTTTATACATTACTCTAATCCAACGGGGCAGAAATATTCGCGGGGGACAGGTAGCCATGCCAGAGGAGCAAAACACGTGTCAAGAGGAGACGGACCCACATGGCCCGCGCCGCTGGATGCCGCCACGTCTCCCCTCGTCCGTCCGATCCGGCCGCTTTATAAACCTTCTGGCGATTGGTGTGGAGCTCAGAACACTTTGCTTGATTTGCGAGAACGCAGTCGGGGATAGTCTATTCACTACAAGATAAAGCATGGCTCAAGAGCACCACCCAGGTACTATATATCAGAGTGTTTCTTTTCTAGCATCGCATTCTTGAAGACTAAACGCTTGATTCTCGATCGAAACTTCGATAGATCACGTCAAGGATGAGGCACAGGTTGTGGAGGGCGGCAGTGGCACAACTCCGGAGAAGAAATCCGTGCTCCAGAAGGCCAAGGACAAGGTCAAGAAACTCGGGAGCAAGCTCAAGCCCAAGAGTCATAGCGGCGGTGGTGAGGACGGCACTAAGCAAGAGATTATCGATGATTCTATTCCTGGTGAAGAGGGTGAGGTTGAGGAAGAGGAAGAGCTGAGCACCGAGGCTCAGGCTCCTTCCAGCCAGCCCGACTCGAGAGTAAGCAAATTCGATAATAATTCGACAAAAGTATCAATTCGGATCGTGATTCTTGCAGGATTTGAATGTGCCATTGGATGAGTATGCTTTGATCCAGCAAAAGGAAAAGAAAGGTATGGAATTCGAGGGTTTTTTCTGTATCAGTCCGACTAAAGATGGATGTTTTTTCTTATCAGACAATGATGATAGCTTTGAATTTAGGAAATCGGATGGTCTAACCGAGGGGTTGCCTTCTCAAGCCATCGCGGAGCATCAAGAACCATCGGACGCGCTCCAAGCAGTCCCCACGAACTACAATTACAAGGACAAAGATGGTGATCTCGATGAGAAGGCCCCCGCGGAGTCACAGACTCAAGAACCGACTCCACAAACTTCCGAAACTCGTGACGATGAGAGGAAAGATGGGAGCATTTTTACGTCCGACAAGGGGGTGCAAGTCACTCCCGAACAAGTGGAAGAACTGTCTTCCAGCAATGTTTACACTGGAGAACCCGACATTAAGTCTTCCTCAAGTGCTCAAGGGGAGGAGTCCTTGGAGCAAGCTAAAGTTGATCAGGGAAACGATGCTGCCAAGGTAAGAACTGATGAGTTTTCGTTGAATGAGTAGTGATCTTGCTCTTTTCTTACAGCAGCCAACGGAAGGTGATGAGAATGTTGTCAGCCGAGAACTTGACACAAAGGAGATCGATCAGCCTCCAAAGTTTGAGGGCGAGAAAGGCACTGACGAGATCTCTGCTGAGCCGCGCGAGCTTCCGAGCGAGCATCAAACTTCAGGCGAGAAACAAGAGGGTGGTGAGATCGACCCAAAGGTGGCTGACGATCGGAGTGCTCCAACGCACGGAGACGAGCAGATTCTTGACGATCCGATGGGTCAAGAGCAGGAAAAAGCAGCGCCTCTCGACGATACAGTGGCTGGCGAGAAAGCACCAGCCGCCGATGAGCATCTGGGCGACTCAAAGGTTGACGAGGCTTTGAAGGAATCATCCGGCTTGGAACAGCAATCCGCGGAGACAAAGCTCGACGATGAGACTTCTATCAATGCGACCAAGGAGAGCGAGTCCAGCAAAGGTGAGGGAGCGCAAGCCGAGAGAGGCCCGGAGGAAATTAGCAGCAGCAAAGTGGAAGAATCTTCAGTTGAGAAAGACGAGAGCGGCAGCAAAGTGGAAAAATCTCCAGCTGAGAAAGACGAGATCGGCAGCAAAGTGGAAGATAGCTCCTCGCAGCGGGACATTGGATTTGTGGATGCGAGTGACAAAGGTTTACCAGAAGCACCAAAGAACGGGGAGAACTTCATGGACGCCAAGGATGAAACACTGGAGCGGACCGACGATGCACCCACCATCGAGGAAATCAAAGATGAAGAGCCACAGGCACTTCCAACGCAGGAGTCGGCGCCAAAGCCTCGAGAGCTGGAGAAGACGAGCGATCAATTGACAGGAGCTCCAGAGAAATCACAAGTCCCGGAGTCAAAGGAGAGTGATCAAACAGCAGCACCAGTTGAAACGTCTGCTCGAGAAGATCCAATCCCCGCTGCTCAAGACACTGTCAAGGAAGAGGAGCCATCAGAGAAGGCAATCGGAGCCCCCGACCAAGCTCATCCCAAAGAACAGAATAAAGAGGACAAAGCCGAAGCGTCTCCACTGCCAGAGAAAAGCGCCATAGCCCATGAGAATCCGAATGAAGCACCCAACTCAGGACTCTTTGGGCAGCTTGCTACCAAGCTCGGCTATGGCAGCGGCAAGTAAGTTCGGCTATGGCTTGCTACCTTCTATCGGATTCTTGTGTATACACATTGGATTGGAATTTGAAATTTGAATTTGGATTTAAACAGCCCGCCTTCTGTCTTTAGGGTTTATAGTTTAGGGCATTCTCGATTCCTAGATCTTTGGAAGAGCATTCCGTGCTCGATCCATGGCGCATTCTTTTCGGAGAGAGCGATTTCTAGGTAGAGGAGGAGCTAGGGTTTTGGGGATATTCAACGGGAGAGTTCCTTAACTGTAACCGACAGGAATGTTCTAAACTGTCAACGGCGTCCGTTTCAGGTGTCCGAGACTCGTTGCGTGGATTAGGGCTCGCTGCTTTCTCGTCCATCGCTGCTTGTGCCGCTGCTCAGCTGGATGGCTCAGAGAATTCTTGGAAAGCCCAACCCCAAGTAATATGCTTGCTTCTTTCTTCTACATTTGCTGGAATCATTTTTTCTGTGAATTTTCCAGCATCCGGTTTCGCTGCTCCTGGAAGACAGTTATCTACGAAGTTTTGAAGGCCCGGCAGTGGAGCGAGACGGACAGGTACTTGGAGCTATTGTTTCTTTGCTTTATGCTCGAGTGTGGCGATGCAGTGAGCTAGATTGGGATTTTTTCTGGTCCGATGTGAGCTGGTTGCACGAGTTTTTCGACCATATCCATCTCGCAGACCACCAGGTACACGACGCTCTTGTGGCATCAGCCTTGGGCTAATTTTTCTTTGCAGAGGATCAATCACTTTAGAAACTACTACGAGGTACATTTCCCAGGCATTCTTGTAATCCATGCACTAAAAAGGTATGTCCTTGTGAAGTGGTGTAATACCTGAGAATGCTCTCTACAGCTGACACGGAAAGATTTGCTCATCAAGAACTTGAAGCGCATGAAGAAAACACTTGAGAAAGACAGTCGATCGGCGGAAGCTGCAAAGTACGATTTTTTTCCACCCACATACGCCTTGCCCGCAGAATACGGTCTCTTTGTGGAGCAGTTCAAGCGAAATGCGGTATGCTAAGATCCAGCTCTTTCTTTACATTTTTTTATAGAAATTCCCTTGCAGGGAGTCTGGATAATGAAACCCGTTGGAAAAGCACAAGGAAGAGGTATCTTTTTGTTCCACAAGCTCGGGCAGATCAGTGAATGGAAGAAGGATCATCGATGGAAAGTTGATAATCCACAGGTGAGTGCTCTCGTGATTTCCTGAGAAATGAACGCTATGGCCAGGTGGAAAGCTACATTGTTCAACGATACATCAACAATCCTTACCTGGTCGGCGGCAAAAAATTTGATCTTCGGATCTACGTTTTGGTCATGGCATATACACCACTGAAGGTACTCCCTGTTATGCCATTTCTACGTCTTGAAGGTCATTTTACTCGATCTTTCCAGGCCTACCTATACAGATCAGGTTTTGCGAGATTCACAAACACGCGTTTCAGCATGAAGAAAGAAGATATCTTGAACAACTACGTCCATCTCACGAATTTTGCTATACAGAAGACGGCCCCAACTTACGATTCAAAGAATGGAACAAAATGGTGAGTGATCCATTCACATGTTTTGGCATTAAACAAATTTCTTTCACCAGGCCACTACAGAGTTTGAAGATACACATGATCACCAAGCATGGAGAGAAGGCCGTGAACGAGCTCTTCCACAACATCCAGATGATAATCATCCGGTCACTTATAGCGGTGCAAAACGTAATCATCCAGGACAAGCACTGCTTCGAGCTCTATGGATACGACATTCTCGTGGACGAGTCTCTCAAGCCGTGGTTGCTCGAAGTACGTACCATACAAGCTTTCTTTTCTCTCACAGGTTTTAAGTGCAGGTAAATGCATCTCCGAGCCTGGCTGCTGATACTCCATCCGACTACGACCTCAAGTTTGGAATGCTGGACGACTTGCTTTCCATTGTAGACATGGAGCGACGTCTACCAGCGCAAAGCTCTCCGAAAAGAGTAAGCTTTTCTCTCGTTCAGTGAAGATCTAGTTTGATGTCTTCACAGGTTGGAGGCTTTGATTTGCTGATCGATCAAGGAGCAGCGGATGCCAAGCCTTCTCCCGCAATCCTTGGCTGTCACAACGATCGAGTTCAGCAGCTAAAGAAGCTGTTTGGTCCCTTGGCTCGAGCAGCTCGTCACGCTGCCGCCCCTACGCACGACTAGAAAGTCTACGATCAAAGAAAAGAAGCTCTTTTATATTCCATATCTGTTCTAACACGTGGAATACATAGAAAGGGTTCGTCTACTTTTTTTATCTCTACAAGCACAGAGATTTCTTGCTTTTGGCTATGGCGGAGAAGCGCGTCTTGTTTGTGTGCACCTCGTGCGATCGCTTTAAGGCGGTGGACGAGAAGACCGGGCTTTGGTAAGTCCATTGTGATCGAATCCAATTGAGCGGTGTCACAGGGCCGAGGAACTGGCAGCACCGTACTACGAGTTCATCGAACAAGGCGCCAAGTGTGATGTTGCAAGCATCAAAGGAGGCGCCATTCCATTGGGTTTGTGCTGATGATCTTTCTGGATCTTTGCAACTAGTCTTTTTTGTGATCTTCTCTCTCCAGATCCAAACAGTCTTGCGGAGAACTACACCACTGATCATGTCAAGCGCTTTCATCAAAACGGTACTCTCTACTTCTTTCCAAAAAGAAGTGTAAGGTTCTACTTGGTTTTCTATCAGAGCATGGCCTGAAAGACAAACTGGAGAAGTCGATCGCGATCAAAGATGCTGCCGACACGTACGATGCGATCTTCCTGCCAGGCAAGCTCTTCGATTGTTTAGTGTGGTCTCACTTTTTCTTTCGCAGGAGGACATGGAGTGTGCTTCGACTTTGCCGAGAACGCGGAGCTCATAGCGCTGGTTGAAAAGTTTTGGGCCGATGGCAAGATCGTCGCTGCAGTGTGCCACGGTCCAGTCGGCCTTTGTGGCCCGCTCACTCCAGACGGTGATCCCATCGTCAAGGGAAAGAAGGTAGCGTTTCTTCCATTCCAACTCTTTGGATCACGCTTTGTAACGCTTTCTTCTTGTCACAGGTGACTGGTTTCAGTAACTCGGAGGAAGCCGCGGTTGGAAAGACTGACAAAGTTCCATACCTCCTCGAGGACAAGCTCAAGAAGCTGGGAGGACGCTACGAATCTGGCTCAGACTGGGTGAGTTTGTCCAAGTTGGAGAGCTCGTTGTTTAGAGAACTCACGGGATTTTTGGCTGCAGACACCTTACGCCGTGGCTGATGGGAGACTGATCACGGGTCAGAATCCACAGAGCTCTCTCAAGACGGCCCAGCTCGTCGTGGAAGCTTTCCAAAACTGCAGGCTTTCTTACTAGAAAAAAGGAAACGGATGGATTAGTAAGAGTGAAAGGAATAACAGTTTACCGTGTTTCCAAGCAAACTTCTCTAGCCTTCACAGTCAATGTTGGTATGTACACCGGAGCAATTGTTACTGTTTTGCTTGGCAGGCAAGTAACCTTCTTGTTCGAGAAACGAGATAACGGTGTCGGCCATCTCCGAAGGCGTGGGAACAGCACCGTCGTCTATCTCCATTACGATCTGCATTGGCTTATGCTTTACTTGTGAAACCAGAAAAGAGTCTCAGCAGTAAGTACCTCGCAGTTATGAGGCTCCTCGTATGGATCATCAATGCCGGTGAATCCTGAAACAAACCAACTTAAAGCGCTGTGCAAGCTACAAAAGAAAAAAGAAAGAGGAACCTTTGATCTTTCCAGCACGAGCCAGCTTGTAAAGGCCTTTGGGATCTCTCTTCTCGCAAACACTGAGCGGAACTTTGAGATAGACCTGTGCTGGCAGTCTTCAATATCTGGTCCAAAAGAAAAAGAGACAGTTCACCTCAATGAAGTCTCCCGCGGGAAGTAGCTGACGGCAGGAATCGCGATCTTTTCTATACGGTGATATAAAGCTCGCAATGCAAATCAGTCCGGCATCGGCGAAAAGCTTGGCAACTTCACCTAGAAAAGCAAGCAAACATTAAACAAACTTTCTCTTTTGGAAAAAGTGTCGATCGAGATGAGTACCAACACGTCGAATGTTTTCAGCTCGATCCTCGGCACTGAATCCCAAGTTGTTGTTGAGACCATGGCGGAGATTGTCTCCGTCGAGAACGTAGCTGAGCTTCCCCCGGCTGAGCAGTGCGTGATCCAGCGCGCAAGCTAGAGTGCTCTTCCCTGCCAGCCAAGGAAGGAAGGAAAGAAGCAAGAACATCACGTCAAAAGAATTGCTAGAGCCAAAGCTTTCACCTTAAAAACAGCACCTGAAGCACTGAGGCCAGTGATCCACACGACGCATCCTTTCTGGCCCAGCATCGCCTCTCGATCTTGTTTCTTCACCATGCATTCCTGCCAGAAGATGTTGGTCGATTTTCCCACAGTCGTGGTTGGAGGATAGATGATCCCTGGATCGAAAGAGCAAGAAAAAATCAAGTCCGACGAGCTACCTATGCGTCAAACTTACCAGGAAGGCACGGACTCGTGGTCGATCGCTTGGAAGAAACATCTTCGCGATCTTGAGAGGAGCACGAATCCATTTCCTTGTTCTTGTGTGGGAAATCCATGCTGTGACGAGCAACGCCCCCCTTGACACGAAAAAGAGCTCCTCTACTCTTGGAGCTTGATGACGCCTTCGCTGACGCGACGCTGCCAGCCCGGCCGAGGAGCGCTGGATTCTCAGGCTGCCATGCAAGCCCCACGCCCTTGGGAGCACGAAGCGACATTCCTTTGTCGCGAATCCAATGCGCTAGGCTATCAATTCCGGGGAGATCTCTGCATTGCTAGAACCCTAAAAGCCGGATCGAGATTCACGGCCACAAGACAATGAGCTGCGTAGATCTGGCACAAATCTCGGAGCTCCACAAGAAAAATGTGAGGGGGAAAGAAAGAGAGGGAAACGTGGAGGAAGAAAAGGACGAGCAAACGCTCTCACAAAAGAGACCCACTGCCCACAGAGAGACCTCGGCCTGGAGCCAATGGCGAGGCACCACGTGGCAGGCCATTCAACAGACTGGTCCTAGGGCAAAGAACTAGAGAGAGAGAGGGGGGAAGAGGCGGTGGCTATGGCGTTTGGGAGCTTGGTGGGGGAGCGATGGCCGGCGATGCTGTGCATTGTGGAGGTCGCGCTGGTGGTATGTGGATCCATCGCATTGATCTGGAAGTACGAGCGCTTTGGGACGCGATGCGCTTGGAATGCTGCCCGGAGGGAGGTGACTGTGGGCGTGGGGAGTGTGGATTTTGTGGCGGATGGGGATGTGTGGGCGGCCTGCGCTGGAGCGCTGCATCCTGGATGGCTGCTGGCGTTCCGGGCCCTGGGATTCGTCTACTTTCTCCCGATTCTCGTCTATGATCTCTGCTTCCACGGGGTTTTCTCCTATCGCTTCTACACACAGTAAGCTTTGTTTCCTTTCTATAAGTCTCAGCACTAATTAACTCTCGGTTTGTAGGTAGAAAATGTGTGAAGCCTCCACTCAAGGCATCATTTTCTGTGTTCCTTGCAGGTGGACTTTCACTCTCACAGTCGTCTATTTCGCGGTAACTTTTCCTCTCCTACCAAAAAGGCGTTTTTTTACTTTTTACTTTCGTGAGCCTGGACTGTTTTGTAGCTTGCGTCGCTGGTGAGTGGGAAAGGAATGTTTTGCAATCGTGGCCGAGAGACAGACACCGCCCAGAGTGTCTCGCTTCTCAAGGGATCGCCGGAGGAAGCTGGTGTTTCATCACCTCGTGCTTCGACAGCACCGGAAGAAACCAATGCTGGATGCCTGGGCTACTTGCTGCAAATCTTGTTTCAGGTATTTTGTTTCGTGTCAGCAAGTTTGCAAGCTATAATCACCTGCTTTTTCTTTTCTTTTCTTTTTTTTCTGGCTAGATCTCCGCTCCAGCCGTGCTGCTCACGGATGCGATGTTTTGGCTCGTTCTTGTTCCACTCGTCATACCATCCGGATTTCGAAACAACTTCGTAAGTTTCTTGATCGACTCGGAAATAAAACACGTTGCTTTACTTACATCCCGCAGCTCAACATCAACGTTCATGGAATCAACGCCTTGTTTATTCTGACAGAGTTCATGGTGAACACCATGGTGAGTTCTAGTATATGAAATTATAAATGGTGGTCGTGACTGTGTCGTCCGTGCAGCCTTTTCCATGGTTTCGGTGCGCCTACTTCACCCTGTGGAGTGTTGCTTACACCCTCTTCTTGTGGATAATGCATGCTACAGGCGTAAGCTGGTAAGATCGAAAAGAGTTGTGATGGAATTTACAGCTAAATTTTTGCAACTTCAGGTGGCCATACCCCTTCTTGGACATCACCACTGCTTCTGCACCAATATGGTAATCGTTATCTTGTGTCCAGTTGATGCTGACAAAGGCAAAATTTGCTTATTTGCCAAGGTACTCTGGCCTCATTGTGCTACATTTTGTCTCGTTTGGAGTTTGCTCGGTGCTGGGGGTGGCCAAGGAGCAGTTTTGCAGGCTGTGCTGCTGCCGAGCTGCTGCGAGGCCAGCCACCAGGACAAGAAGCATCACCAAAACATTCTCCTTGTATTGATTCGATCTTTATCAAGCAAAGGTTAGTGTTCCTAAATCTTATGTCTTGAGCTTGATCGATACTGGCTATCTTCAGAGTCCTTCACGTTTTGAAATACTAACGAACTGACATCATTCTTTCACTCTCAATGCTTTCATTTGAGTGTTGAACAGGAATTATCTCTTCGCTCGAGAGATTGTCCAGGCAAGGAGAGCGAGGGAGGAGTTTCTCTAGCGTGTGTTTCTTGTAGAATTGTGCTTAAAACTTTAATTCGTTTTGTGCTGCCAGGCACCAGGACAACAAGAAGCATCACCAAAACATTCTCCATCTTTCTCAAGCAAAGGTTCGTTCCTTGGGCGCGACCGATTCCAGTGGCTGTCTCAGCTTGGCAGTGGTGTGGGGATCCTGCCGCGCTTCAATGTGCTTAGGCACGCCGTGCTTGAACAGGAACTTGTGCTTGGCCGCGGGCTTAACGACCGCGGTGAAGAGAGCATGCCTCCATGCATACGAGGGCGTAGCCACCGCAGCATGCCTCAGTTGCTGGAGTGCCTTCTGGGTTGGATTTTATTTCCTGAGTAAGCAATGCAACAGTGATGGAATTCTATCTTCTAAGAGAAGACCACATATGGTTTAGTGTGTTGTGTTGCAACACGGTCTCCACTATAGACGGCCTGAGAAACCATCGTTACAGGATGTCATTGTTTCTCATAGCTGGAATGGAGAGAAGTATAAAAACCTACCTCTTCTTCGGCCAAAGCAGCTCCTCAGATACACATCTCACTGTCTAGACACGATCAGGACTCAAGTTAGGAGGTTACAATCTTGAACATCCTGAGGATTTGGGAGGCCTTGTCTAGATCCAAAACAAAAGAAGAACAAGCCACCGGAGATCAAGCGAGCAATTCTAAGCGATTTAACTTACACGTCACGCTGACAATCGTGACACGAACTCTGTTGGTTTTTCTGTTTTCTCCCCCAGCAGCTTCTCTCTGATCAGCGTGCGGCTGGAGCTCCCTCACCAGCAGCACGGCTGCTGCCAAAGCTGACACCAGAAGGGAGTTATAATTAAAGCAAAAACCTCAATTTTAAAGGCATTGTTTCTGTTGATCACAGCATCAACTGCAGCCTTTACGTCCTCTGGAACATTGTGCATGAGAAAGGAGAACAAAGAAAAAGATAAACAAACTGCCCTCTCCTTTCCAGACGTGATAACAATGGCAACCTGGCTAATGATCTTACCGAGCAAAGAAATCGGGGTACCATATACAGAAGCTTGCCCAACCGTTCTCCGGCCTACAAAGAGAGGTTGGAGAACACACAAGGAGCAAGGAGACTCACCTCTTGGATAATGGCAACGCGCAAAATCAAATTTGCGGGAGAATGATCGTCATTCATGATTCAATGACTTACATCCACTCGGAGGCAAGATCCTCCTGTCAACCTGGCCATTCTGGACTCTCTGGCGAGCGAACGCTAATTCATTATCCAGGATGAGGCCTGATTTACCTCGATACTCTGGAGGATGCTCCTTGCTACACAAGGGATCCGAATCATCAAATCCACAGCGCCCATAGCGAACCCACTTTGAGCAAATAGTGCCAAATACATTTCCACGGCTGTGCAATTCCCACAGCTCCTTGTTCTTCCTGTCAATCTCTTCCAACTCCTCTTGAGATTTAACCCGTTTAGGCCTAGAATCCTTATATCCACGGATGCCATAAGGACCATACTCCACCTCTATCCAATCAGGTTTCACGCCTGTCCTTGAGATTTCCATGACTGCTTTAAGGAACTCCACCGTCGCGTCCACCTCCGCCATAGGTTTTCCCTGCCCTAGGAAACTACGGCTATTAAAAAGACAAGCAAAAAGGATAAGACTTTACCCCCGGTGATCATCCTAAACTTTCTCGTTCTCGCTGCACCCAGAGAACTGGAAACTCTCGAGGCTGGCACTCTTGAGCGTGAGATCTTTCGAGGTGTCCACAAAGCCCGCTGAGAGCTTTTAAAACTGTAGAAGTCTCCATCGTTTGATGACGTAACCCAAACGTTTTTCAAGGGCTCTTCAAATATTGTTGTTCCCCTCATGACTAAAACTCACCAAAACTTGAGAAATTCCATGTCATTTTCAGTTTCTTATATAACATAGTCTATAGAATATTTATTTCACTAAACCAACAACTTTTGAGCAAGAATATTAGCTACACCAACCTTTTCAACATCAATCTTTATGACTTAGATGATGGATTAATCCATGACATTACCAGAGTGCAAACACATTTTAAACTTGCTCAAATGAAATATTGGATGAATTTTCAAACTAGTTAGTAAGTGTATTTATCTTCAAACTAGCTAGAAAATTTAAATTCCTCATTCATTACAAAATTGTCCAAAGCCTATAATACTATAGAGACAACTTAACAGTACCATCTCCTTTAGAGACTATTGTACATGTGATAGCTTAAGGAAAACCTACTTTGTACTCCTAATGATGACAATGTTGATCATTTTCTTAAATCTATCTCATGTTGAATTTGCCAACTTAAGCTTATTTTGTATAAACCAAAGCCAAATTTAAACTCACAATAGACTTGGGCTTAAAGCCATATATTACCATGAATTAAGATATACTAATAGTTGATTGTTAAATGCTATTGTGAGTAAACTAGAGCAAATGTAAGTACTTCTCCTTGCCAAATCAAGTTTCCCATGAGAAAATCTCAACATATATTCTAACAGTTAATTCAAGTGCTCTATCTACCTATCTAACTGTGGAGGCTCACCATTACTTATATGCTCAGCTTAGTTTCTAAATTCTTAAAACCTATTTGCCAAAACTTGGATGTGAAGTTAGGATCTTGATCAATGTCACCCGGCAAATTATAGGGATTGAATAACCAATTTATAAATGCCTAAAAGCTTTAATTATCATTTTAACTAATAAGAAGTGAGTCATCGATCCACAAAAACCCAAATAACATTATTTCCTCAAAAGGTTTTGAGCAAATAAGTGATAAAGTTCATTAAGATATTATCCCACTTATTTTTGGTTATATATATAGGATGATAAATGTCAATAAGCTTTTGATGATCAACTTTGACCACCTAGTAGATTAAATAACCACTTACATACTTTTCAACATCTAACTTTATCCCAAGTCAAAAGAAATGCCTCTTCACCAACACATACATCCTTAATATATCTTGAATGATGAAAATTTATCACCCTTCAAATTTGTAGAGGCATCCCTTAATAAATAAAAAATCTTTAACACAAAAGTAGAGATACATTATTTTTTCAATTGCTAAAATGCCACTTTACACTTCTCATCCCAATCATAAATAGTAGCATATTTTAATTTGTTCTTGAAAAGATCAATCAATGGAGTAGCTATTTCTAAGTCCTTCACAAAATGTTAAAAAACTTCAGCCATACCAAGGAAATTACAGAAATCATGTGTTATTGAAGGTTTAAGTCAATCAACCATAACTTAGATTTTTGTGGGATCAACTCTCACAAAACATATTAAAATCAAATGCTTAAGATATTCAATTTATTCCAAGAAAAATTTACACTTATGATATAATTTAAGTTCCTCATTCAGTGGACTCTTTCAAATTTTCAATTGCTACATTTTTTAGCTTTTGTTATCCCTTAAAAATTGCAAAACACTTGCATATTCATTTCATGTTCTTAGGATGTAGAAAAGCCATCATAGTAGGCAATTGAGTTATATTCACAATAAATTACACCACACCCCTTCATAAGAGGACAATCTTTGCTATAATGTTTAGCTTTGTGGTAATGCTCTCTACCTTATACTTCTTTTACTAATTTAACTGAAACTTCTTAACATTATTTCCATCTCCATTATTTGAGCTAATGTAGCAATAATTACTTTTTCCCTAAATATGATGGACTAACTTCCCTATTAACTTTCCTATTGACTAATGGTTTTGCAAAAAGATCTAAGCCTCAATGATAATATTAATTAATGTTGTTGGAAATCTTTCTTGACTTTCTTCTATATATCCATGGAAATTAAACCTTTGATGAAACAAATCATTATGTATGCCAATGAGACCAAGGCAAAGACATAAAATTTGGGGGCATACACATCTAAAAACAAAGTCCCTTCCTTACTTGGTTTCTAACAATTGGTTCACAAGATCAAACTCTTCAAACTTCTTAATAAACAAAATATGGAAAACTATTATTAAATCACCCTAAAAAGTTGGTTTTGGATTAGTTTTAATTTAGTTTTTCTACCATGAAGGAACATAGCCTATAAGTGTTATAAATGTGATTGCAAATATCCAAAGTTACATATTGAAAAGTTTTTTTAAATGTTCTTTATTTATTGTTATGAAGGTTGGTATTGCTGGTTCCCTTTTCAACCCTTTTTGTTCAAGTATTAGTAAATTAGATTTAACATTTATACTTAGTCAGAACATAAGGTAAGAACTTTTATGTGTCTTCTAAGCATAACTGGCTTGGCTCTTAATTCTCTTTTATTTTATTTTTCACTAGCTTGATAAGAACCCTCATATATTGAGTCTAGTCCCTTAATATTGTTACATGATAACTTACCGTATTTGCCAAACACCTTCACTATCATGCCCCATATGTTGGTTTCATTAATTATTTATGAAAAGTGTTTAAATCTACAAGCTAATCATATCTACATAATGTAAATCTTGTCTTGAACATGATGGTGTTCCCATATCCAAATTTGCAATCTAACACCATTCCATATTTAATAAATTTTTATAATTATCTCTGACGGTGGTTGTGGGGGTTTCAAATGTATAGTAGGGATAGTGGGTAGGTTGGGTAGGGCCAACAAACCTAAGGCATAGTCTAGCTTTATTTATCCTTGTTTTACGTCTAATTTATGTCTAAGCCCAAACTTCATACCATGTTAGTTGGTGGAATACCTATATTCTTGTGTTAGGCCATTGATATGCCAAAATAGTATTAAACTCTTTTGGCTTTGTTTTGCATGTTAATTCTAGCATTGGGATGTTAAATGTTCTAGGACTATATATTAGTTCATGCTCTTGTCCCTTTGTTCTTTATGCTGAACGGTTAAAAGTTGCTCCATACTCCAATTCCTTCACTTCTTGGCTATATGCTTGGGAATTTATTACTCTTTGACACCTGGTTAAGGGTTTTGGTTCTATTTAGTGGTTATCCTATGATAAATCACTATAGAATAAAAGGTGAAAACTACATATGCTACAGAAAGCTTCATCATTAAAAAATCAATTTTCACTTTGTCTTTATAATTGTTGTAAAACTGATGAAGAGGTAAATGTTTTATTTTGAGTATTTTCCTAGGTAGAGCAAAAGAAGGAAGATTAGGCAAAATGGAGTTACACATAAGATTATGCATCCAAAAAAGAAAGACTCAACTTAGGCAATGCTTATTATAGATAAGCGTGAAACAGTTAAGAACAATTATAAAATTATGTAGTATATAAGTAACATTTAGATGTGTTGGAAAACAACCCCTACTTACTATTGTATGCATTTGTATTGAATTAACCATTTTTTCTCCCACTTATGATTATTTGTGTAAAGTAGAGTTGAAAGAATGACATATATTTATCCTTACCTATGCTTTTGGGGTTTGAGGTTGAGTTTTTTTCTATTCTCTTCTCATTTTTATTTTCTTCTCTACGTTTTTGTCTTTGTTTATTTGTCATTATTTTGCAAGAAGAGACAAGAACATGAGTATAGGCAAAAAAAACCTTACTCACATTTGGAGACTACGTGTAAACTCTTGAATTTGGACTTCCCGGGAGGTTATTCAGCCCAATACTATTCAAACCCAAGGACACTTAACCTCAAATATCCCAAGACCCTTAATCGATTGGAAAAAAGGGTGCACTCTTATTCATAAGATATTTCCTTCTATATTTGAATCCTTATAAATCGTCTTTCGAGTCGTTCTTTTTTGTTGCTTACACACAACAGGATAAGCCGTCACTCTTTGGCTTGAAAAACAATCAGGAAAAAATCACTTGTGAATTTTAAACATACTTAGCACTAGGAATCACAAGTAGATCTTTTCAGTGATTGCAAGGCTTAGACAATACTGAATGAAGGAGCTCTTTTTATGATTGTAATGGCTTAGTGCCTAGATAACACAAGAAAGATAATTTTTCCTTACCAAGTGATTATATCTTTAGTCACTACACTAAAGGATTGCTTTTCTTCCTTTCCATAGTCTAGGGTTTTGGGACGATATTTCAAAACACTGTGACCCTGTATGAGCCTTATAAGTACTCTCCCCACCTTCGATCTTTAAGTGCCCTAACCATGTGGCTTGAGTGAGGTTCTGATGAGTCACATTAGGTATCCAAGTAAGTAGTGCCACCCACACTTGGATTGGGAGCATCAACTATTTGATCTCCTAGGGAAGCTAGAGTTGGCTCTTGAACACTTCACTAAGTTATCCTGTTTGTTTATCTATATTCACTCTAGCCTTGGACTCCTCTGTGGTTATATTATCACCCACCACATAAATATAACCTTCTTAGGTTATATTTGCCTTTTCTGGCTAAATTGATTCCACTGGAGGCTAACGCATAATCTCCCTATTATACTTTGGAACCTTTGCAACCCTTACAAACCCCCCTCCTTTGGGGGGACGATTGCTTTGAGCTTTCACCCCTCAGCCTATATTTGTATTTGGACTTAAATTCAAACACTCTCCCCCCTTTAAGAAAGATTGATATTCTTGTTGATGCATACTCTAGTTTAGAGCACCGCCAAGGAAATAACTCTAGAAAAAGTTTATGGTGTTCACACTTTGTGAGAAATGCACCAATTTAAATGAGTTAAGATAACCCCTCTATTTAACACAAATGTGCTATTAACTCAAACACCTTCCGACTGTCACTAATAAGGAA